ATAGGATTGGCTCAATAGGGGACACAATAGGGGAAGACAAAACGTTCGAAAAATCGAGGCTCAAGCGGGTGATTTACGGCTCAAATCTACAATGAATTCTATTATCCCAGTAACTAGTGATAATCATGATGCCTCAATGCATAATTTCTGAAGAAATACGAGACGCAATTGCTGTAGGAATTGATACTACTTAAAACATTGCAACATGAGAACAGTGCTCTATTATTGCTCGATGTGTTATAGCAACATCCAAGAGAGACCAGTGATTTTTTTAAATGCGAAGATACCGATACCACTGGCGAAGTTTTTGTGCAGTTTGTTTCTGAAGTAGCTGTGTTAGTTTTCTACTGCTAGATCAGCTACTAGCTCCTTCTAACTGATGTCTTTCAGCCACACCCCTGATCTAATGGTAGGTAAGATCTACACGTCCTGCCTTCTCGGATAAAGGGCGAAAAATCTCAGAGGTATCGAGAGCAAGTTGCGCACGTTAAAGATCCCTTTGTGGTCCAAAAATCGATAAGAGTAAGCTTCGGCCGCCACCCGGGAAAAATGCAAAATTTCCTACTACCAATTGAAAATGTTAAATGTGTCCTGCGCGCTCATATGACCGTATGCTGTTGCGAGCGCCGTAAAACACTATGGAGGAAAAAAAAGCTGTGTTAGAACTGAATCTTGTCACCCTTGGACGTGCATGCGCATGCCTTGTGTGGCCAGAAGAAGCAACACATGCAGAGATTGAAACTCTCATTGAGGACAACTGCATAGGCTACTGGATGGAGTCGTAATCTTTACAGATGTTCCTGTTCACTCCAGTGTCAAGTCAGTTTGGGCTTTCACCGCTCAAGTTCATGGGCGGTGTGTAAGCTTACAAGAGGGATCGGGTGCAACAGCCAGGGGCAGCTCGTCCATAGAGCACGGTCGTGCACTGCCGCCCAAAATGTTTAATGCCCAAAGCACCCACAAAGAGACAATAAAATAACCTTTGACATGCACATAGATCCAATCTATTTCCAATACAAATTCCTCGCCAGAGCCTGAACGGTAATTACAACATCTACAACAACACTACAACGTCTACTACACCATAGTAAGTCCTCGTGCTTCACCCAAGCAAAAAGTAGCACGTTCAGTTGTGGTAATCTGACTCGAAAAATGTTCTATGGGCAGACCCAAACAACGATGACGTTTCCGTGAGCTTCATAGTACATTAATATTAATAAGGCGGCACAATCTCAATGTGCACCAGCCGAACAAAGCCCACAGAGGAGGTCTAAAAATAACACGATCTCAGACAAGTTCACGACAGCTTATACAATTCTGTGCCCGTATTATGATAGCTTCGGAGCAATCCAGCGGAGTGCTCCCAACGATGTGCGATTGGTCCATTGTCTTGCCATTTATATCTAGCCCCACCTCTGTGACCCTGAACTTGAGCGAGGTCAACTTGACGTATTCAGATCACTGTGTCAGAAGAACCTTAGGCCTACTTGGAATGGTGTTGATGTGAAAGTGTTATTACTTGACTGTGTAATTCCAATGCAGGAGGAATGAAGTTGATTTTTTACTGGCAAATAAATTCAGTTCTCTAACCCAAAGTGAAAAGAAAATAGTGAAAGAATCAGGTCCTCATCAACCAAAAGATATCAAAGTAATACAACCAACAAAAAGGTGCAATCGTGTTTTCAATACGGATCTTTTCGAAACAGTGGAATGGCTTACTGTCAGCGTTAGCAAACACTCACTGTACTGTTTCTACTGTCTGCTTTTTGGAACTGAGGACGCCAAGTGGTGTAAGACAGGTTTCACTGATCTTGTCCATGTGAAACAAAGCATTAGAAAACACGAATCATCAAAAGCGCACATCAACAATGTCGTTAAGTATTACACTTTCGGAGTAGTAGACATAGCAGCGCAGCTAGACGTTGGTTATCGCATTGCAACGTCTCTCTACAACGAACGGGTGAGAAAGAACAGGTACGTATTGTGTAAGGTTATCGAGTGTATTTTGTTCTTTGGAACTCACGAGCTCGCCCCCGCGCGGTCACAAAGAAGGTGATTTGTCGGGGAACAGGGGTATCTTTCTTAATTTACTGCACAGAGACGCTAGTACTGACAGGATACTATTTGATCATCTGCAAACTGCTACTGTTGCAAAATATACTTCCAAAATAATACAAGAGGAATTGCTTGACTGTATTTTCAAAATATACCACGAAGAACTGATTAAGGACAGACGCTCTGCCAACTTTCTTTCTGTTCAGGCTGACGAAGCAACTGATGCAGGTCATTTGTCACAGTTTGTGATCATTCTGAGGTATGTTAAGGAAGGAAAACCGGTAGAGCGGTTTCTAAAGTTTTTTTAAAAGTCAAAGACAGAACTTCGTCAGGACTCGTTTCAACCCTTAAAAAAGCTTTAGAACCATTCAGCGTCGAGGAGAAGCGGATCTCCCAAACCTACGATGGGGCAGCTGTAATGAGCGGGAGAGTCTCTGGTGTACAGACTCAGATGCGCCATTTTTTTCCCTAACGCTGTCTTCGTTCATTGCCATGCGCATCAGTTGAATTTTAATTTAAAGCAGGCTTGTTCTGGCATATCAGACTGCAGGATATTTTTCGCTAATGCTACAGGCTTTTCGACATTTTTTGCCCACTCTACAAAACGCATTGACGTTCTCAGACGCGTTTGTCATCGGAATATTCCACGGCCGTCTGAGACAAGGTGGAATTTTCAGTCTCGACTCATTAACACAATCTTCACTTGGAAAGGAGACCTGCAACTCTGTCTTGAAGAAATTCAGTCTCAGCACTGGGACGACAACACCACCCACGAAGCCTGTGGTCTTTTGAATGTATTAAAGGGCGATACATTTCTCTTCTTTTTGCACTTTTTCAACAAAGTGTTCACGCACGTTGACGTTGTGTATGGGATCCTCCAACACAGAAGTACAACGCCCATAGCAGCCCAACAAGCTTTAGAAACGTTTAAAGCCGCCATCGAGGAAATTAGAAACAGTATAAGTGTTCCATCAACAAGTCAGACCACTGAAGAAGGCGCTTCTGAGAGACGCAGACGTCATAACACAAACGAAAGTGCTGCAGTGGAGGCCTATGACATAATAGTTACTCAAGTTGTTGACCGTTTCTCAGAACAAAATAAGATCAATACACTATCAATCGTCGACCCCTCCAAATTCCAGGACTATCAAAAGTCGTTTCCTACAGTTCTTTTGGATCATATATCAGAATGCTACTATGTTTTACACAAAATCAAGTTGCAAGCAGAATTAGAAATATTATATTGCAATGAAACCTTTAAGTCTGCTCAGTGTCGTACAATTCAGGGCCTTTATTCAACTCTGAAGGACTACAAACTCGACACAACCTTTAGAGAAGTATGAAAAATCCTTGAGGTCGCACTGACGACACCATCTACGTCTGTAGAGAGGCTAAACGAAGCTTCAGTACACTGAAACGAATAAAGACATTCTCCCGTTCTACAATGGGACAAGAGAGACTGAATGCTCTTACATTTATGTCCATCCACAAGGACATCATTGACAGTATCCCCAACTTCGTCAACAGAATAATGGAGTCCTTTGCTGAGGCCAAAGAACGACGGGTAGACTTCTTCTTCAAGTAGATATTCTCCAAACAGGTAGGATGAAGAATACATCTCATTTTCCATGCCCTTGACTATCTTCAACCTGCTTTAAGTTAAATGTGCACGCCCACTTTTTAGACCCACGAGCCGCCCCTGGCCACAGCGTACAGCACTACTGTCTTCTAGAATGTCCCTGGGAGTCGAAGCTATCACAGATGCCCTTAGGTGGATACTAAATTACTAAATACCAAAAATTGGACCCTGCTGAAGAGGGGACGAGCAATTATAGACAGAATCCGTCTGTGAGGCATCGTGATGAAATCAGGCGCTCGTCAAAATAATGAAATCCGAGAAATCGGCATATTTTAGCCTGTCTGGATTTTTTTATTTTTTTATTTTTTGGCTTAACACCTTGTATGTCCATTCCTAAATACTTTTGGTGGTTGGTTGGCGGATGCTTTGGTGTAGTTTGCTTCTTCTTTCCTATCAATCATATCGTCCTTATCTCCCCTTCTTCTTTTTTTTATGTATGTTACTCTCTTGCAACACCTTTAATCTTCTGGCGCTCATAATAATGACCGTATGCAGTTGCGAGCGTCGTAAACTAAAACCTCTACTATAACAAAAACTAAAAACACTTACTTTTATGTGCGGATTTAAGTGGAAAAATGTTGATTAAAGGCACAAAAAATGTAAATTTGCAGTTTCCAGGGACTCTTAGGCTATGGAAGTCACCAAATTTTGGCGGCCATTTTCTCGCTAATTTTACTTCTGAAACCATGCGACCCCACCTCCTTCAATCGCTAATATCTCGACTTCTATTCAAGATAAATGGATATTTTTTTTCATCCATAGAAGGCAACATTAATTAGGATGACGTCAAGAGCTCCATATGCTTTTTAAAAAAATTGACGAGCGCCTGATTCCACTATGTCGTGATACATATACAATCAGCCTGTCACAATTCTGACTGATTTAATGAGCGTACTTGAGAAAGTGAAACGTGCAGGTTTTCGTATGCTGGCGGACTGGTTCAGCGAAATCAATGGGAGAAATCAGAAGATGATCACCTGGATGTTATCTGTCCTGGGCAAGCAGCTGTGAGAGGGAATGAGCGAGCGGATCAACTGCCAGGCTGCACTGGAATAGAGGGATCGCTCACACTTGACATATGAATAGATAGACAGATAGATAGACAGACAGACAGACAGACAGACAGACAGACAGACAGACAGACAGACAGAATGACAGACAGAATGACAGACAGACAGATGGATTTACAGACAGACAGACAAACAGACAGACAGACAGACAGATAGATAGATAGATAGATAGATAGATAGATAGATAGATAGATAGACAGACTCACTCAGTCGTTACTCACGTTTTCTCTATCTCCTCTCTTTTCTTCTTTTCTCTCTCCTTCCTTTCGATTACTAGTGACTGCGCTCGCACGTGACCTTCTGGCAAGCAAGGGGGAAGACAGCTCCTACAATGTAGAAACTGAAAAGAATAATAATATAGCCAGGGCAGAGGAAGTTCAGCAGTCTCCGCGGATGAATCAGCAATCAGTTACTGATGGAGCCCATCGGTATTGTATTAGTAAGAACACCTAAAGTTGGACGCTGCTGGAGAGGGAAGAGGAATTAGGGAGAGAATCCATATGTGAAGACCCCAGTTCTGGAATCAAGTACGTGCGGTACCTTTACTTTAAGTTTATTAAGTAGGCTGAAGCTACTGGGTTGCAAGGGACGTGTTGACCTCGGTAATTAATTAATTGCTGCTGTCAATCTGAGTCTATCAAGAGCCAAGCTCTCCCAAAAGTCAACTATTACATTTTTTCATTTCAAAGGATTGTGATAAGAGTCAGCTGTTCTACATAAATCTATTATTTGTACAATACAAATAATACTGTATAGACGCGCTTTAAAAAAAACCCTCCGGTCACGTTACTTAGGCTTTGAGGCTTGAGGACAGTCTCTTTGGTTTCTCAACGAGAGGAGTGATCCATAGCCTAATGTATACAGTAGACAGCAGTACAAAATCTACAATCATCATCGTCTTCTCTGTCAGAAAAAACTACCTGTGTCCAGGTTGGCATGTTCTCCGATAACTTCAGCAAACTTTAATTTTACTAGGAGGACTTGAAATACTGCAATATTATTCTAGAATATTTTCAACAGACAGATTCCTACTTCATAAATGTCATATGAGCTAAAAAGAACATTACAATGTGCTAAAAACAACATTACTATTGCTTTATTTGTTTTCTTTTTTAACACAGAATCTACATCAATCATCGTGATTAGAAAAACATAATACTGGCACTTTGTTTTCTCGAAAAAAAAATGTGGGAGTAGATTACTCCGTCTGTGTCTTCCTTTCTCGATTGTTGTTGCACTGTAGGCTAGATAAATTTCTCTCGGCCTACTCAAGATTTCTAATGTAATCTCAGGTCAGGTGACTGACTGCTCGACATACCGTGATCGGTAACAGCAGGTTTTCTCCATTGACGTGTAAATTTGGATGTAGCTAATATCAAAGGCTACACTTACGTTTGTTCGAGTTTAGAGTGTCGAGAGAACAAGAGGAAGACTGCAAGTAGTTCACCACTGTCCGTTCTGCTGGTGGCCAGAGATTTGTTTACAAAATTACAATCGGTTGTTTCCAGTCTCGCTGTCCGTTAAACTGGAACTTTGTCAGCTCTGTATGTAAAGAAAGTCAACAAGATGTCTGGTCAAGGGGAAACGCCTCTGAATATGGAACATAGAGATGCAGTAACAAGAGGCCTAGTGGACCTGTTGAAACCTGCTGTTGATGAAATTGATGACCGAGTCAAGAGTGTCAGGTTGGCTTAAATTTTTTGGCGCTTTTTCGGTAGTTCCCACCCCGCAATTTTTATTCTAGAATCTAGATCTAGATTTAGGCTCAAATGGGGGGTGGGAACTACCGAAAAAGCACCAATTTTTATGCTTCTTTGTCATTTGTTTACTATTTTGGCCAGTAGCGTCAATTGCCACCAAGTGACGTGGTGACAATTGACTTTATTGACACTGATGTCAATTGCCACACAGTGAAGCGGTGTCAAGTCTGAAAACAACGCTTTATCTTTAGTCTTTAGCTTTCTATATGTATTACGAACACATGGATAAGTTAAACGAAGTGGCTAGCCGTACTTAAGTACGGCTAAACTGCCAGTCTAGCCGTACTTAGATCTAGGTTTGGCCCAATCGACTCAAGCCTGTTAAGTACACAGGTCTCATTAGATCTAGATCTAGATCTAGGTATAGTAATTATTCAGGTTCAAATACATGCAAGTCAGTAAGGCACCTTTTTGTTTTGTCTGAAATACAAATACTTTAGGTACTGCACACTAAAAATTTCATTTACAATTCAGCCATCAATATTAAGTACGGCTAGCCTGACAGTCTAGCCATCCTTAAGTGCGGCTAGACTGGCTGTCTACCCGTACTTAAGTACGGCTCGACAAGAAGTCTAGCCGTACTTAAGACTGCCAGTCTAGCCGTACTTATCTTAGGCCCTATTAACATTAGAAAACAGGAGGTTTAAAATACATGCACTGTCATTAAGGCACCTGGTTTCGTCTCAAATACAAATACTTTAGGTACTGCACACTAAAAATGTATATTTACAATTCAGTAGGCCTGTTTTTTGTAAATGGTCAGTCTAGCCATCATATTTTAAAGAATAAGTACGGCTAGACTGTGAGTCTAGCCGTACTTAAGTACGGCTAGCCTCTTCCTAAGTTAAATCTAGATTCAACCCCCTCTCTTACGTTGATAAGTTATAATAATAATTTATAATAATTGCATTTATATAGGGCATATCCATGCTCAAGAGCGTGCTCTATGCGCTTTGCAACTATTAGCATATGACGCCAAGAGCTCCATATGCTTTAAAAAAAATTGACGAGCGCCTGATTCCACTGTGTCGTGATACATATATATACAATCAGCCTGTCACAATTCTGACTGACTTTATGAGCGTACTTGAGAAAGTGAAACGTGCAGGTTTTCCTATGCTGGCGGACTGGCTCAGCGAAATCAATTGGAGCAATCAGAAGATGATCACCTGGATGTTATCTGTCCTGGGCAAGCAGCTGTGAGAGGGAATGAGAGAGCGGATCAACTGCCAGGCTGCGCTGGAATAGAGGGATCGCTCACACTTGACAGACAGACGGACGGACGGACAGACAGACAGACAGACAGACAGACAGACAGACTCTCTATCTCCTCTCTTCTCTTCTTTTCTCTTTCCTTCCTTTCGATAACTAGTGACTGCGCTCGCACGTGACTTTCTGGCAAGCAAGGGGGAAGACAGCTCCTACAATGTAGAAACTGAAAAGAATAATAATATAGCCAGGGCAGGGGAAGTTCAGCAGTCTCCGCGGATGAATCAGCAATCAGTTGCTGATGGAGCCCATCGGTATTGTATTAGTAAGAACACCTAAAGTTATAAAACGAGTAGTTACACACATTCTGGGGTTCGAAAGGAAAATAGTAGGCCTATAGATCTAGAATCTAGGTCAATTTTCATATCGAAGTGACTATTTCTCCGAACGTTCAGAGAAATAGTGCCGATCTTTATTTCTCCGAAAGGTTTCCGGCTTACGGTCTCGTGATTTTTGGCCTATTTATTGCGAGAGTTCGGCGCCAACTTTCATTCTGCCTCTGGTCTGGGAAGGAACACCGCATGGCAAGCCCGCCTACAGACAACCTTCAGTAACACCCACCACCATCATGCACATGTACACACACTAACTAAACATGACCAGTGGGCAACTTTTGAACGTATGACGAGCTGAGCTGTGGATGGAGAGACAGTGTGAGTGAAACAGCTGGTGAAAGGAAGAATGTGCGAGTGTATCCACAGGCGACAGCAACTACAAGACGACGACATGCACACCGACCCCCCTGGCCTGGTCCACAGCTCAGGAACGAAAGGAATGCAGCTCAGGCAGTGTTTTGCCTATATTATTGTCCATGGTTCGCAGGGTGCAAGGGAATGAGTGAGATTTTCTTTGTGTGTGCCTGGAGGGAGGGGGTGGGGTATGAAAGTCATGCGGACGGGGATGAGCCGCGGGAGAGAACAGGGGAATTAAATGAATGAGAAACTGAAAGAGACGAACGACTCATGAGCCATGGAGTGAATGGATCCTGTGTTTCTATTTTTGTATACTTTGAACTGTTACTGAATAAAGGCTGAAATAAAGCCCGAAAAACAAACACACACACACACTCCTCACTCCCCACTTACAACCACACATAGACACACTCATACACGCACATACATACACACACACACAAACACACACACACACACACACACACACACACACACACACACACACACACAGGAGCAAATTTTTGGGTCTATATATATATCTATTTCAATTTTCAAGAGCTAGTCTAGAGATTTTTAGATGAGTGTAAAAACGTGAAAAAGAAAGGTTTCACAACAGAAAGAAATCAAAATTAGAACAGCCCATAAACAACAACAAACATTAACAAATAAGGGCGTGTGTCCACCTGTCCGAAGAAGATTGGCTGTTTTAACCCTAAATGTGCGTAATTTTTTTTTTTTTAAGTACAGGATATTACATGTAAATTATAGAATCACACACATTAAGGGGCTTGCCAGTGTCAGTACATTGGTCGCAGCAGTGACAAACGCAGATGCCAGTTCTATGTGTCGTTATCAATAACCCTCCATAGATCTAGATCTAGATCTAGACAGCACACGAGTGAACACAACACATTACGTTTAAGAGCAGCACCCTTCATAGGCAACACGTCATATCTGTAGCAAAAAACTGTTTGGAGTTGTAGCATTTCTTTATATAAATATTTACTGCGGACATTTTTTGGACCGATTGAACCATATTGTATACGAACAATCTTTGGTAGGCCTATACTATAATTATAGATCTTTATAATATCCTAAATTTGCGGGAAAGGATGAGATTTCAGAGTGTTCGGAGAAATAATGCCCAGCTTTATTTTCCTGAACGTTCGGAGAAATAGTGCCCAGCTTTATTTTCCCGAACGTTCGGAGAAATAGTGCCGGCCTTTTCATATATATATGTGAGGCAGCGTGGTGGAATCAGGCTCTCGTCAAAATAATCAAGGTGAAGAAACTTGCATTTTTCTGCAGGTTTATGAATTTTTAGCAAATTTTTATTTTTGGGCTCAACACGTTTCATAACCCTCACCCTGCGGGAGCCGGGTTTATGTCGCCCGATAAGCGTATTTCGGCACCTCAACTACGTTCTGGTCCTGATTAGTGTAGCTCCTGGCTCAGCGCACGTGCAGCGCGCATCCTCTTACGTGTCATTCGGGTCCCGAGTCAGATCCCCATTCACGCAGGTCAAGTGTGTGTGCGTCAGTCTGCTTGAGTTTGTGTACGTTTGTGGCCTTCTTCTAGAACCGCCTGCATTGGTTCGTAATCGAGGCATACGTCTCATTCAAAACATGTCAAGTTGGTAGCTCTAGATGTTCGTCCAAAGAAATTATAGAAGAAATTGACCCACTTAGACATGAGGAGCGCGAAAGGATAGTCAGGAAACTAGATTTCCATTTTTCTATACAAAATATTTCAAATGAGCTTGATTTTGTATTAAAAACATACTACCTGATAAAAAATAAGCTTGTTTGATAGTTTTGAATACCATTGTGCAGGTACAAAGAACAATTTGAGTGTAAAACATTCGGAAATTGGCCTAAATTATTTCACGTAAGATGATGCGCGGTGCGCGTGCTCTGAGCCAGGGGTTAGACTGACTCGGGACCAGAACGTAGGCGAGGTGCCGAATAGCAGCATGAAGGCATGTTATTTGAAGTACCGGTATTGTTACCATGTGTGTCGGTGTGATTCCTCTTCAACAGAGGTTACACACCAAGCAACAGCCTGCCCGTATTCTGGAAAGTTAGGTCGAGGAGAAGGTGTAGTTGAAAGAAGACCATGGTAGAGCAAAGGCACCGGAAAGGCTTCCCGATCAAGGAAAAACAGCTGATTCTCATAGAGGTGGATGACTAAAAACCAAAATCTGTAAATCCATGCAACTATGAATTCAACACTCATGTTGGTGTGGTTTTGGGGCATAATTTATGTAGTAACAGTATGACCCATCCCAATTTAATTATCCTAGAACTCTTTAATATAACCTGAAATTCGTACAATGCAAAATTAGGACTAATGAACTAATGAAATGATTTCTGCACCAGCCTTAAAAACACTTGCCAAAAGAAACACACAAAAAACCCCAAGTTATTAGTAATATTACTTGTATATTTATCAGAGATAAAGTTAGATTAGTGAAAAGTTGTTGACTGAATAGGCCCTTTATGAAAGTGATCTGATAAAGAGTCAGAGCTGTATGGATTGATATTTGTATGTGTGGGTGAAAGTGTTCCTAAAATTGCTGAAAAAGATTTTTCTTCTGCTGCTCCCTTTCACATTTCAGTTCGTACTGGCTCTTGAAGCCTGCTAATATTTTTTTAGTGCAATGGTTTGTTGGGTTGTTGTTGTTTTTTTGTTTGTTTGTTTGTTTGTTAGTTAAATGTAGAGTCAGACAAATTTAGATAGTTTTTAACTTTGTTTAGGATCCCGACAGTCACTTTGTTTAAGAAGCAAGGCAATGGGGACAGAAATAGCTTTTGGGTTGGGGTGTAAAAAAAGATGATAAGTTGTGGTCTTCACTTTTCAATAAGTTATGGTCTTCACTTTTCAATAAGTTATGGTCTTCACTTTTCAATAAGTTATGGTCTTCACTTTTCAATAAGTTATGGATTTCCATTCACTGAGTGATTTTTTCCCTTCTCCTCAGGCAAAGCCAAGTGGAGCTAAGACAGCAGATTGACAGTCTGTGTGATGGTAAGCGACAAGTTGATAATATTTAACTCTGCTTTGATACAGGGGAGCTGGGACACAGTGAAAGCTCGGATTTACAGAAAGGAGGATTCCTCATTTGTTTAATTTATAGAATTAACAACTTTATTATACTCCACTATACCAGTAATTTGTAATTTTTTTCATTTTCTTGATTTTAGAACTTTCAAATGATGGTATGGATTGATAGTAGTCAAATATTTGTGTGAGCTGAAGGAAGTATGGAAAATAGTCTTGACTTGTTTGTTTTTTTATGCTTCTCGGATAATAGGTGTCGCTGCTTGTCATGCCATAGGTTTCTGGGTCAATTTATTATGAAATGATAAGCCTGTTCATTTTTAGAAGTTGAAACATCCAGTGTTTGTGTCTCTGTTTACCGACTGCTGTTTTACTTTTCCAGATTTGAAAAAAATTGCAGAAAGTGACCCAGTACCCATGGAATTGGAGCCGTACGTGAAGAAACTGAACAGCTCTCGTCGACGGGTCATGCTGGTCAACAGTATTCTGCAGAATGTGCAAGTATGATGTACTTCCTCTTTTTGGCCCATGTTTTCATACGTTTTATTAGTTTTATAACTATTAACGCAATCCCGCATAAAACTCTGGTCAGAAAATTACCCCCCCCCCCCCCCTCCCAATAAGAGAAAGGGCATAATTCTGACTAAAATATTGTTTTTAAAGTTGTTTTTTTAATTGCCTCACATGATAAAAATACCAAATAAACTGCCAAACAGAGATTAAAGATTGAAGTTTTGATTCAATCAGCAGTGTCAGTGCTTCTGGGCCTATCCTTATTTTCTGGTTGATCCACTGATGAGCTCTAGTTCTGTCTTTGTGGTTTTATTCGTCTTCCTTGTCTGACCCATCAACTATATCTAATTTCTCCTCAATATCAGACGTCTTCTGACCAGGTATTAGCCCCATGTTTATTAATCCTCTCCCTTTAATTTTATGATAACCGGATAGTTTGCCATTTTAGAAGGGATCAGTTTTGTACTAGATTCAAGCTCTACTTGGGAGGAAAAAGTTCAAGAAACCAATGAGGTTACAGGAAACTTTCAAGTTGTTTTTCTCAAATGCATTCGGTGTACCCATTGCTCACAAAAGGGACCATATCTCAAAAACTATTACAAGTATCTGGAAATTTTTCTAATAACTCCCCCCCCCCCCCCCCGAAAAAACCTAACCCCAAGTCATCAGGGAAGGTCACTCTATGCAGAAATTGAAACAACTACAATTACTTAAAAATTGCACATGAGGACCCTTTTCTCAGGCAGACCCACAAATTCTCTTTTCCAGTGTAGTGTAGCTAACTATCAAAAGCACTAGTTTAATATTACAAGTATGTCCTGGTATTTTCGTTTTTGTGTGTGTGTGGGGGGGGGGGGGGTTCATTGCACACACATAGCCCTCCCTTTTCCAGCTTGCCGTTGTCTCTTACCCACTCGACTCCACGGTGTTGCAAGAAAGGAAAGTTAATGTTGTATCACAGAGAGGGAAAGCTGGCATGTTGCCAGTGTTGCGGGGAGTGAAAGTTTGTGTGTTGTGTTATCAAAGGGAGGGAAAGTTTGTGTGTTGTCAAAGGGAGGGAAAGTTTGTGTGTTGTCAATGGGAGGGAAAGTTTGTGTGTTGTCAAAGGGAGGGAAAGTTTGTGTGTTGTCAATGGGAGGGAAAGTTGGTGTGTTGTGTTGTCAAAGGGAGGGAAAGTTGGTGTGTTGTGTTGTCAAAGGGAGGGAAAGTTTGTGTGTTGTCAAAGGGAGGGAAAGTTGGTGTGTTGTGTTGTCAAAGGGAGGGAAAGTTTGTGTGTTGTCAAAGGGAGGGAAAGTTGGTGTGTTGTGTTGTCAAAGGGAGGGAAAGTTGGTGTGTTGTCAAAGGGAGGGAAAGTTTGTGTGTTGTCAAAGGGAGGGAAAGTTTGTGTGTTGTCAAAGTGAGGGAAAGTTTGTGTGTTGTCAAAGGGAGAGACAGCTGGCAAGTTGCTGAAGGGGGGTGTGTTGTCGAAGGGAGTGAAAACTGATGTGTTGTCAAAGGAAGGGAGGGTAAGCTGGCGTATTTCCAGAGTGAAGTGTCGCAGAGAGGGAAAGGTGGTGTGTCGTCTAAGGGAGGGAAAGGTGGTGTGTCATCTAAGGGAGGGAAAGTTGCCATGTCGTCTAAGGGAGGGAAAGGTGGTGTGTCGTCTAAGGGAGGGAAAGGTGGTGTGTCGTCTAAGGGAGGGAAAGCTGGCGAATTGCCATAGAGTGAAGTAGTGTCGCAGAGAGGGAAAGCTGGTGTGTTTTCATGAGTCATAGTCAAGGTGTTTCAGCTGCTGTCTGGAGAGATTGTCAAGTGTCAAGGTTTCTTCGTGCTATACGTCGGTTCCTCTTTTATTGATCAATTTAATAATACAGTCGAAATTGTCCAAGACAGACGAAGCAGAGAATTTTTTTTCTCGTAAACAGTGTAATCTTAATGTTATTCTGAAGTTAGGCTTCATTGGCAAGTTTCTGCCTCTCGTGTTTTGCTCTTACTTCCCTGGTGATGGTGTCTAGCTTGGTCAATTTTTAAAAAATTCGGGGGGAGGGGTGTGCTGACCTGCCTTAGCAAAGAGGAGACGTAGCTTTTAACTGTGACATGACATGGCTGATGATGTCATAAATGACGCTGGGTTTTGTGTTTTCTTCATGTTTGGTGATAAAACACGATCAGTTGTCAGGGCAGGGGACTTACACAGTGAACAAGACGAGGCCTTTGACAACATTAGGCGGCTGATGATATCATAAACTGGTCATAAAACATGGGTCGGAGGTCACAGCACTGGTGAACACAGTCAGTCAACAAGAATAAGCATGTAGGGTACTGAATCTTTTTGACAGGACAACATGATTCGTCCTTTGGGTCATAGACGTAACGTCTATGTCTCTTCTCTCTCACCATCAATAATTCAAGTGTACCTCACGTTTCACTACTAGGAATTTAGGGCAGCCAAACATTTACTCACTTGAGCCTGAGCTATTTTTCACCCAACAATTATTTCAGCCTGACAGTTTGGGGGTATATTGAATCGTTGACCACAAAAAGACTGTAAAAGCTAGCATAATATAAAAAAAAATGCAACAAATGAAAGAAAGAATGCTTTCACAGAAAAACAAAGCTGCATCTAATTTGTCCCAATAGTTTTTATTTTATCTATATTTTGAAATTGCAATGTCTGGGGTTACACCATTTTTTTAGCGCCCAGTTTATAATAAAATCATCTATCGCAATGCAGAGGTGACCGACCTTGTCCATTATAGCTAAAAAAAAGCATCACACATAACTTCACCAAATTTTTAACAATACGAAACAAGTGGGTCAACTGTTCGCTCGCTTGCCGCTTCCTGCAGCTTGTAACCGAAAAACACAGGAGATATCGATCGACAAAGCACATCCCATAATTTATACACGGGATTAGGCCACCGGGCTTGCGGTGCGTCCCATAAATACACGGGAATAGGCTCAAGTGAATTAAAACTATTTCTTTGCCAAATAATTAGTGTTGGTCTTTATCACTCTTCTTATACTGTATTGTTCTTTTCTTCTTTTTTTTTTCAGGACAGACTGAATAAACTACACAATAACATCTCTAAAGAGACAGCGCGCAGAAAGACAATGCTTGATCCATCATCACCCACACATCAGAAGTGATGAAATGAAATTTTGTACATTTCAAACTAAAGTGCAATGGACCATTGAAAGCTATTCCTTCGCCATTCTTCTCAGATAGAAATTAGTGCATTGTTGTACATGAAGTTGTGAGAGATGTGAAAATGTCATAGATGTTTTGCTGCTTGTAATTGTAAAAGAGGCACAAGTGTTTGTGATGACTATTTTGTGTTGCTTCCAAATGTAGATATATATATATATATAATTTTTTATTTGAGTTTGAGTCAGTTGTATAGAACATTTTGCGTGGAGGCTTTGGAAAACCAGAGAAAAGATGGGCTTGTCAATTTTGGGTCACATGTCAAAAATGAAAAATTTCAGGATGTGGGTCAAAAATGGTCAATTTCATTTTAGGATGTAAAGAACAAAAATAGTCAATTTCAGGTCCAAGGTAGACATATAAATTTTATTTTTTTATTTTAAAGGCTCAATTTAGGGGGAGGGGGGAATGAGTTTGCAAAGCTGAGATCATTTATAGCTTACATCATGTTGAAGCTACATTCCAAGTGAGAGTTTGTGCAGAAAGTGGAAGTGATTGTGCAATTGAGAGGTCGTCTGCTCAGAACTATTTTGTCCAAAGTGCCTCTTTATTTAAGTATACTCAGGACCACATAGTTCTGAGGTGACGGGGTGAGAAGAGTTTCATTATTTTAGCTGTTTTTGATCATTGTCCGGTCATGACACAATTGCTTGAGTCCTTTTTGTTCAGGTTTCTGTATGGGAAAAATGCCAAGTACTGGTATCTTTTGTTCAGTATAGTAAGTAGGCTTTTGTTTTGTGAACTTGAAATTCATGTATTCAAACAATTTCACTTTTGCTCAAGTCCTAAAGTTGACTTACTGTTATTTTATTGAAATAAGTTTTCTCAAAGAAATTATGAAAAAAAATGACTCGAGCAATTTTGTGTTCAGGCCATAAAGAAGTGTTCTTTTTTGATTGGATAAAGCTTTTTTTCTGGTTATCTGGTGCTATTTTAGTGATAATAGTTTCATCGTGGTCATTGGATGTTACTCAAAGTTGCTGAGGGATGTGTTGTCGCAACTTGTGTGACGTTAGTGAGGGAGATTTTTTTATGAGTCGTGTAACGGTAACGAGGGAGGTGTTGTGGCGAGTGATGTTGTTACTGTTGTTACGGTAACAAGGGAGGTGTTGTGGCGAGTGATGTTGTTACTGTTGTTACGGTAGCGAGGGAGATGTTGTGGTGAGTGATGTTGTTACTATTGTTACGGTAGCGAGGGATGTTGTTACTGTTGTTACAGTAACGAAGGAGATGTTGTGGCGAGTGAAGTTGTTACTGTTGTTACGGTAACGAGGGAGGTGTTGTAGCGAGTGTTACTGTTACGGTAGCGAAGGAGGTGTTGTTACTGTGACGGTATTTGTATATTTACCTTTTTATTTATTTTAAGTTTAAGCTCCTCTTTTTGAGACTGGGCGACCATCGTGTGGCCAAGTTCTTCCTCATCTCTCTATTGAGGATTCATTTGGTTTGCTCCTAGTTAGCTGGTGGTCCACTGGTAGGTCCTACTTCTTTCTTGCCCTCCTCTTGTAATTTCTATCTGTCTGTCTATCTTGCTACTTCTCTGCTCTAAACAAAGGTTATCCTGCCGATGTTTTTTTTTCTTTACCCAAACTGGTTTGCTCTCCGGAGCTGACTGCTGCCTCCTTTATTGTCACCTCTAATAGCACTAGGACATTTCTGTGACTTAATAACGCTGACTATATGGCAATAAATCTGTGTGTTGCACATCATAGTGTTCAGTTCACTCAACATTTTAAACACCAGTAATGTTGACGTGATGGAGGCAACACAATCGTTCATCTTTGGGTAGACACAATGTGGATCCCGGGGGACGCAGAGAAATTTGTAAAACATTTGCTATATATATATATATATATGTGTATTCAAATATTTGCTTTTCTCCCCCCCCCCCCCCATTAAATGGTTTAGAGTACAAACAGAGTGAGCCCGTTGGCGTTCCAGCGTTAAAAAAACTGGTTGTCACTGTAACAGTGATGTACTTGTTTACACCCACCCGTGCCTGTTCCAGCTCTGTCGGGATAGATAGAGACGTGTTGTTTTAGAAGGTGAAGATAGCGGGTTCATAGAATCCACCAACGGAAAGAGACCTACAGGGAGTTCCACCTCCTTGTAGGTGGAAGTTTTGAATGACGAGAAGTGCCTATCTTACATTTGAATGAAACCAAGAGGGGAAACAAATTTTCGAAAACCTACTATGAAAACTGATTAAAACTGAATAATCATCACCTCCTTTATCAGAAAGAACCTGCCTTTTTCTTACAACCTCTATCAAAGCTTCCACCTCCATCTTCTTATTCGTTGCTTGAAGAAAGAAAGAAAAAAATGTTTCCACGCTTACCGAAATTTAGTGCAACACTGAAAAAAAATTAAAACTCCAGCGAAACAACAGGTGTGGTACAGGTTCACCCTGGGTTTTAAAATGGCTCCACTCCAACCGGTGCATAGCAACTTGTATTACTTCAAATTGAGACCTGTCATATCGCTGGAAAAAAAATGGCAACGGGCCAACTCTGTACTCTTACGGAGGGCCAACTCTGTACTCTTACGGAGGGCCAACTCTGTACTCTTACGCAGGTCTTTTTTTTTTCTTCATAAATATCATGTACAAGTAAATAATGCTCACAAATATTTGTGTTATATTGTCATTCAAGTTGAAATACAAAGATCGAGAGATTTGAACATGGTGTTTCAGTTGTTTTTTGTGATTTTTGCCCCCATGAACATTTAGATGGTTGGCGGGTGCTCTAGTGTGGTTTGCTCCTTCCTTCCTATCAAACATCTTCTATAATCTTTATCTCCCTTCCTTCTTTTTTGTGTTTGTTACTCTCTTGTAACACCTCAAATCTTAGGCAGATATAAGTTAGATGACCTTTTTGTGTTGCAAGTGCCGTAAAACTCTTACTAAAAAAAAGCACATATAGATGGCGTGGGGCTGCTTCCGTCCTGACTGTCACAGTGTCGGGGTCAGCCTGGGCTGGAAGAGATGCATCCCCCCAGCAGACAGTGGGAGATCCTCAACAAAGTAACTTCCCTGTATTAGAAAAGAACTAGTGTCATCTGCACGCAACGTCTTACCTGTACGAGGCACAGACATATGTGAGGGGTGCTGACAAAATGTTACCATACTTCTCGGATTTTTTATGGAAATTGATTCATCAACTTTAAAGGTGAAGTTTGTACAATTTGTAAGTGTGGAATAGTAAAAGATATTCTAAACTTGAAGAAAATGGCATCAATTGAAAATATGTAAATCTGACCCCAGTGTCAATTTTCGCCCGATATCACCATTCTTGAATTGCAAGAAGTTACTCATTTTGTCAACACACCTCACATAACACTATTAACACAGGTAGATCTATCTCAACCATGTCGGAGATTAACACGTTCGATCCATCCATAGTTCAAGTAAATCGTGTTTTTGTTTGAGTGAACAGAAGCACATTGACACAATAGTGGTCATTTAGTGCTGGAAGAAAGTAAGACGGACAAGAATAACAGAGGGAAAGAAATAAGTAGGACCTACCAGTGGCACCCTTCAACCAGTCGCAAGTAAATCATGATATAACTAAACTAAAATCTATAAATATTGAAGAAAATCAAGGGATGACAGTATAAGGGCTGGTGGGAAAATAAACCACCGCCATCATGAAAAGTACCCAGTATTGATAAATGGAGATAAAAGGACGGATAGTGTGACGCCTTGCACGGTGTCAAAGCAAGAGAAAAAGAGTTACGTCACTAAACCTTACTCTCAAAAAAAAATAATTTTAACAAAGAAATTGCTCTTACACACGACCATAACAATATTCAACAGTGGTCAAAGTCAAAGCACACAAATCTTGACAATGGGTCACAATGGGTGCGTTTCTTTTCCATCAAATGTGCAGGGCAATTTGAATTTGTGAGGAAAACTTTGATGAGACTTTCCGAGATGAGCCGTGGGTATTCAAGTTTATGGTGTTGCAAATAAATACCAAAATATATATGTGTGAGGCAGTGTGGTGGAATCAGGCTCTCGCCAAAATAATCAAAATGAAGAAACTTGCATTTTTCTGCAGGTTTGTGAATTTTTATCAAATTTTTGTTTTTTGGTTCAACACCTTTCATGCCCATTAAAGAACTCATTTCTGGGTGGATTTTTCTGAAAAACGTAGATTAAAGGTACAATAAATGTAAATTTTCAGTTGCAACGGACTCTTAAGCTAAGGAAATAACTAATCTTTGGCGCCATTTTCTCACTAATTTTACCTCTGAAAACAGGTGACCCCCACCTCCTTCATTCGCAAATATCTCGACCTGTATTCAAGATAAATGGATATTTTTTTCATCCAAATACAGATACATGAACAAACTTTAAAATGATATCAATAAATAAGTCTGCCTCACATATATATTGCGGTCCAGTCAGGGAATGGCATATCCTTTGAGCTATCTATGAATTAGAGTTTTCAGTGTTGGATTTATCTGTGCACAACTGTATATTGTAGGTAGTAGAACAAACACACACACACACAAAAAACCAACAACAAAAAGTGATACTGTCAGAAATTTTATTTCATATTGCTAAAGTTAATTTATACCAGGAGTTTCCAGCCCAAACAAGGAAACAGAAGTGACTATTGCCAGCTCTGACGAGTGTACAGTAATGCCAACTTGCCTTTGTCCTAAATTAGTAACTACTGGCTTGGTGAGTCACGCCAGGGAAACAGACTGTGGAATTTCACCGTACCAGTACAGCAAAACATGCATGTAACCAACATCATGAATAAAATGTACAATGCTAAGAGAAAACTGGTGAGAAGACCCCAAAGGGAGAAAATATTTTGTGGGGGAGTGATGGGCAACATTTCCATGTGAGTGGTCTCCCTGACAACAGAATAATAGATCTCTACCGCCGATATCGGTCAAACTCAAACATCTTGTTTCTGTACCTGTTATTTCATAAAGTAGAAGTGATAGAATACAATATGTATCTATCTCAGGTCTGGAGGAAATGAATTCAAAATATAAAAAAATTTTTAAAGCCCTGAGAAAGGAATGAACACGAATGATTGGAATTCTGCGGTTCAACGAATGTTGACTTTTGACAGATGAAATCTGTATCGAGATTGACTGCAAATGTTGACACACGTTACCCATTATAGGTGTCTGGCTGCTTTCACCTTGCCTGTCTAGGCCAACTAAGGCCAAGTGGGGCACAACATCCTTGCAGACAGATTTTTTAAAAAATAAATAAACCAAAAAAACCCACAAGATCCAAACTCATGTCATCAGCTTGCAAACACTAAAGATGCTGGTACCAGTCTGTGATAGCACTGTACATTTTACCAGTCAAAAGCTGTTTCACTCTCAGCTCAGCTTCTTTTTAAAGACAACATTGACATTACCAATATATCTCTAACCTACAGACACTATCAGGTCTCTTTTCCCCCAATGCGAACATTTCAGCCTTTTTCCAAATGAACACTACATCAAGAGATGTAGGTCTATAGGTCTAACAAGAGAGTCTATCCATACTGAACCCAGGGGTTTCCCTTAGTTGTCAAAATTTTCATGCAACCAAAGAAAATAGTACATTGTCCACAATTCAAACTGTACTTTGAAACATAAACCTGGAAATTTTACCATATACCGAGTTTTGAAGTGACTCAACACTTGTGCAATATTTTTCCATTGGGGGGGTGTGTAAAGGAGGTGGGTTGATAATGCTGCGATGCAAAAAATCAAGAAGACACTACATCATCAAATTTCTGTGACCGAAATGTTTCTTCTCAGGGGTGCCTGAAGCCAATCATCAGCTTCCTGGAATTTGACATGCCTCTTTTCAACACAACTAATTACAAGGTTGGGCATCCAGATTGACTTTTCATCTTGTACTTGTAATACACGAATGGGAGGCGAGATAGGAAATGAAAAATTCTCCTAAGCAACATAGGTTTAAAAACAGGTTTGAAACTATGTCAGCCACACCATAGTCCCAAGTCACTTCTTCCAACCAAGACAACAGTGTGTGACTTAATAGTAGTGTGCCCTCTTTGTGAGAAGAGAAAAAAAACAAACCAGCAAACGGAGAACAAGCCATTTGAACGGACAGCCATTGGAAATTGGAGAAATCAGAATAAATGCCAAAACATGACAAAGATCAAAGTAACTGGAATGATTTCAATGGAATTCAAATGGAGCTTGTTACAACTCTATAAATCTGGAATGAAGTTTGGATGACCTGTTCACAAATTGTACAGGATGTGAGAACTTGAGAACTTGTATGACCAGTATACTGTATAGTCACGGTCAGCCCAGACAGACATGTTAAAAACTGAGTATTCAAGAGAAAGAAAAACTGGTCGATTTGCACAACCTATTGAACAAAATGCTTGGTAACATTTTAAAAATAAATAAATTTAAAAAACTCCGATCCCTATCCTTCTCACTCTGTGTACCTCCATCTTTGTTTTCACCAGCAGCAAGCAATTAGAGGATGCTGGCAGAAACTACTAGAACTACAAGAAATAAATTGTACATTTTTCCCCGAGGCAATATGAAACAAAATTAGTCTTGAAGCAGGTTTTTCCCAACATATCATCACCAACTATGAAAGTGTCAAAACAACATTCTACATCATCACACAATGCAACGAGAACAAGAAACTAAGCTTTTTTTTCTTTTTTTTTTTCTTTTCAATATATTCCTACTGGTGGGATCTGGAGGGCATTAAACAAAAATCTCTTTTCTCAGAATGAGGGGGCAAAAATCTGTGGGGCTCTTTACCTGTGCGTAGTAACAACAAGACTGCTATCATATGGAAAACTTTTCGGTCTATAAATAGAACACAGCACCCAATCTACGCATGTCTAAACATTTGAAGCCAACAGCTAACAATACTTACTTAAAGTACAAAAATATACAATCATCAGAATTGTCCAACAATTTCTCACTATGAGTTTTCTCACAAGCAGCGCAAGACCTAACTTTTCCTGGTGCTACCTCAGGTTCAAGCGAGAGACCCAAGCAAAAATAAAATGGATGGAAATCATCTTTCCTCTTTGTTATTGCACAGTTTTCCTTGAGCATCAGTATCTTAAATAACATTTCTGTCTGAAGCACAGACCAGCTAAAGCCCCCCATCATAAAAATAATTTTTTTTAAAGTCTTGTCTAGCACATTCTATGCCTCTAGTTCACCCCACACATTGACCATTATTTCTCCTCTATTTGATTCCTCAACAAAAAGAACCCAAGACAAACCCCCAAAACCATCCTTTGTTTCTCGTCCTCTCCCAACACACGAGGACAAACCGGGTTATCAACAACTTGAGAACATTGGGAGCAGGGTGGGGGTGCAGGAAAAGCAGCCATCCTCCGCCTTTCTCCTCGCACAGAAATTACAACAAACAAAACCAAAAAAATAAATTGTTGCTAAAATTAGATGATCATATCCCCTCCACCAAGAATTATGTTACAAAAGAAACCAAAAATCAAACCAAAGATCTGCTTGCTATATTAAGTTGGCATATGTCTTTACGTACATCATGTGTCAATATTAAGTTCAGAAGTCAAAGCATGACTATAAGAAAAAACAAAACAAAAAAACTCCCCCCCCCCCCCCCCCCACTAAAATAACAACACGACATCATCTACATTATAATCTTGTACTATCAATCTAACATATCCCATGTGATCAAATATGAGGTTTCCAGATTTAGCAACAACTCTCGAGTGGCCAAAAAGACAGGGGAATAAAATACACATCTTCATATTACTGAACACCATTTTATAGCTTTTCTTCGGGGCGCTCTCCCCCCCCCCCCCCCCATTTCCCATATTAGTTATTTGCGGACATTTCGAATTCCCAATTTGCTACACTTTGCACCAAGTATGTATTTGGATTCCAATGCAGTAACACCCTTTTCAACATTTCGTGAATAACTTAAAATTCGCAGATAACCTTAAAAATCGAGAAAATCACAAAAATAAAATAGCGCCCGACCCCCCCCCCTCCCCCCAAACCACCCCATGGTATTCAGAATATTCATCTTTATCAGGAACACCCCAACACAACACTCCAGCACTTGCTGATAAGCAAGCTATTTTCTCTGTACAGATTCTAGTGCTTTCAAAAATAAACAGCAATAAAGCAAAAATAAAAATTGTTAAAACAAACCCAGAACAAAAGTTCCGTAGTTTTCTTCATCACAGTCACGAGGTTTCATCTCACAGTCAAGTCTTATAAATTAGCATATACATTTTTATCATTTGAGCTACTAATTAACCAATGACTTTCAGCGAATCGTAAGAAAAAACAAAAGTCTAGGCCAGCACTGCAAAAACCCTCGGGTGACACACAAATAGGGCACAGTGCTTCTCCAAGATAAAGAACCCAGCACCACAAAATCATGACCACCATTAACCGAAAGAACAGCATGAGCGCTTCTCAAAGTTTTTAGCCAACAGGAAATGGGTTGGGGTGGGGGATATATGTAGAAACTACTCAATACCCGCTAGCTACAGTAAGATTTGACACAAGTCACTTGGATCTACTCCGTACCCTCTACCTACAGGACCCAATAGAACAAGTTCCGATACAACAAAGAAATAAAAATCACAAGAAATCACAACCTCAATCGATATAATGTACTTGAATTACACAAACACAACACAAACACTGGACACGTCAATCCATGACCAATCTAATTAAACACAAGGACATCATAACTCTGGAAATAAGTTCATATTTGCTTACTCTTGGTGCCTTAAGAATACATGATAAATCTGTTAGATTATTTTGAATACTCATGACTCCATAACTTTAGAAAAAAAAGTCCTCAATTTTCTCTCAGTGTCTCATTGATCCTTGAAAAACCTAATATTGCAGTCATTGCGACGTTATCCTGGTGGGAAAAAAAATCTTTTCAATTTGCACCAAGTCTCAACATTAAAAATATCGCAGTGTGCAGCCACCACCCGGAGCCAATTCTAAAAGACCCACGTTTTACCTTTCACATCTTGTGAAACCAACATTAAAAATGAAGAACACAAAAACTAGACGGAACAAAAACGTTGCCATTGACTGACCAAATCCCAGAGATGCAAGATCCAGTTCTAGTGTTAAGTAGACAGTACATGAAGAATTGCTCAGTCACACATCACAGAGAAATTTTGATAGCAAATGCTAGAAATAGACACAGTGCTAAATATATATATATATATACATATATACATATATATATTATATATACATATATATATACATATATACACATATATATATATATATATATATATATATAAAACATTGTGTCTATGTTATCAACATACCAAGATTTTTAAAAGATGAAACAAATCAATAAAAGAGGAGCAGCGCTGCAAATCATCACAAACGCATAACTTAGTTTACTACTTTGTCTGCTTGCAGAAACAATAAACCGATTGTTTCACGAAGATGAACATTTGTCTGTTCCGATTCAAATCCAAACACTGAAACCCTTTGAAACAAATTTGTCATTTAACATTTGTAAACTAGAACTGAAAAGGGACGTTCAAGATTCTCTTTACCTCAAAACATCCCGCCTTTTCCTTTGGGCATGACTTATTTTTCATAATAGAAAAATGAAAAAAAACCCACAAAAAACCCCCAACAAAACAACCCAATAAACAAACATATTTTAAGAGAGAGAAAAGCCATTAACAGAGTTGACTAGAATGTCACATGAAATTAATGCAAGATAAATAAAAGTTGAGGTACTAGTTAGCTAAGGTATTCCAGATACCTTGAGATTAAAAAGTCGAAAACCAAACTGAAAAAGATGATATGTTAAAAACAAAACCCAACAGAAAAAATTGTCATGATCAGAAGAGATTCCAGATATATTGGTGGTTAGCAAAACATGCAGCAAAAACCAACAAACATAATGGAGAAAATGTAGGGAGGAGGAAATAAAATTACATTATGATAAACATTAATAAATTCGGTGAGATAAATCTGTCAATTCAAAACGCAGTCGACACAATTCAACATAGAACATTGGCTCAGATCCCTTTGATTTCACAACCAAAACCCCCATCCCCACAATATATTCCTTTTCCTATATTTTTAATACTTCGCCTCGGCCTTTTCCAGCAACCTACAAGATAAATAGATGCGTTTCATGAAAAAAGGTATGGTGTACCTATAAAAACAGGTCTAACTACAAATAACATAAATCTGCAATAAATGTACACACACACACAGACTCAAAAACGAAAAAACCTACGGATTTTAGAGTGAATACAACCTCTGTCCAATAAAGGTGTTCACAGTCCCACCCCATTTTTCGACATTCTACGAACAAACAAAAGTTTTTGGCACATTTCACCAAACAACAATACTCACGAGTGACACATGATACTATCATTAACACAAGACTCGACTGACACATTATGCTATCATGACACAGTGTACTATCACAACAGAACACATACCACCAGACAACACCGACAAATACCACAGCCCACGTGGTCACAAAACGCTAAGCCCTTTGCTTTATTTATCTCTGCCCTAGGTCTGGACGCTCTGTCTAAGCAGTGGACACAACAGACTGAAGCTGAAAGTTGTTAAGAGTTCATTAAGTCCAGAACAGAATGTCTGTATGTGTGGGGTGGGTGGTGGTCAGGGGGGGAGAGAGGGAGGGGTGGGACAAAATCCCTGATTGCATCTAGCTGCAGGAAGTGAGTGAGTGAACTGGGTGAGAGAGATGGAGGGCGGCTGCGTCTTAGTGCTCCTCATTCTGTGGCGGGGAGCTGCGGCCATGGGGTGGGCTTGTAATGTCCTGGTTAGGAGTGACCGGCGTCTCATCTCCACGGAATAGTGGGTTCTTCACTTCCATCTCTCCGGTCTGAACAAGAGGAAACAAAGAATGTTTGAGTCTCACAATATAACATGCATAACAACAGTCACATTTCTTTTTTTTGTGTTTTTGCATCGAGTTGTACAGCACAACACCAGTCACATTTCTCTTTTTCTCCGTTGAGTTGTACAACAACAGCAGACCAGCCACTCTATGAAATCTAAAAATCAGGATTTGGTGAAAAAAAAAAAAAAATTAAGGCGATTGCCAAGGTGATTAAAAAACTTTCCACGGGTGTCCAAAATATATCCATGTATCTGTCCTGTGTGTGTGTGTTTGTGTGTGTGTGTGTGTGTGTATGTGCATGCATTATTCTTCAAAATCCCGAAGTATCATGTCTAGGACTCCTAGCCCAAGAGCCCCCCCCCCCCTCCCAGCAAGTCTCGAAAGACGCGACAACTAGTGTGCATGAACTTAAGTTGACCCCGTCAACAGACAGTAGCACATTGAAACAGTTTTACAGACAAGTCTTGATGATGGGCCCGACTAACCAGAACTTGGATACTGCTTATTTTGACAGAACTATGGCTAATATTGATCATTTGTATGCCGCAACTGATACAGTTATCAGGCCATCATCGGAGAATTCTGAGTGGAAACAAAGCGAAAGTAGATCTTGAGAATGTCCCGAGCTGGAATGCAAAATCGATACTACTTTTATTATACTTGAAATAACACATGCAAGCAAAGATCCAACACAACTTGGGATGAATCAACTAATAAACCGGCATCAACGTTTCGGAAAATGGAGCTCCAAGTTCCTGCCGACAAAAAGTTTAACGGGGCCTCCCGCAACAGAGAAGAAGGAAGAATAAATTTTTAGAAAAATCCAGCTCAACAGACGGCACCCAAAAAAATCGGGATATACGTGGTCGAAATCAGGAAAATCGGGAGGCTTGAGATTTCAGCCTTATCTGATTAAATCAGGATGAGTAGCAGGTCTGCAACAGTTATTTTTTTTTTGTTCTTCTCCATTAAGTCGTACAACAACAGTCATATTATTTCTTTTGTTCTACATTGGGCCATACATCACAGTAAAAAAAAAAAACCCAGAGTAGCATGTATCATAATGGTCCTAACCTTTTGATTTAGTCATTTTTTCTTCTTTTGAGACATTTCGGGGAAGAAGAAAATACTGTACGAAAAACCCCCCACCAAAAAACAATGTTTTCATTTGCTGCAAAATGCTTTTCCTGTAAGAGGCTCGTTTCCCTTTTAGACGAGGATTTTTTAAAGGTACAGATTAAGAGGAACAAATAACACTGCATAAAAGTATATGGAAGACAACAGAGAAAAACAAAGAACAGAAGATTTTGTTTGACACATAATTCCCTGTACTATGAAAGGATTTCAAAGCCACATTTTAACCTTTTTCCCGTTTTTTTTTCTATGCATTGCAACCTTTCTTTCCATGAAATCTGCTCAAAATTAAGAAATACTCATACCCGTGAAGGTGCATATTATCATGGTTTTACTGTGCGACATAGCAGAAAATATTAGAACCTGGATGGCAAATTTTAAAGCATGCCCTACTACAGTACTTATATGTCCTAGATTCATTTTATCGAACCAATAGCTCTACCACTCTTATCTTCCCTGAACCTTTGGTCAATCTTGTTCTCATGGTCACCTGTCCAAGCATCCACTACTTACTTTCCACCTTGCATTATAAAAAAAAATGACACTATCCACAACATACACCTGTCTAAGATAACCATTTTTTTTACATCCACAATGGGTGGTGTCTTAGATTACTAAAATGCAGTTATGTTAGCAAAGTCAAGACCATGCAATCGGAGACAGAGCAGTAGAAAACGCCAGGCCTAATGGCAATTTAACATAAAGAAGAAGATGAGGAGGAGGACGAGAAGGAAAAGCAGCAGCAGCAACTACAGCATTTTAAGAGAGAGAGAGAGGGGGAAGAGAGAGAGAAAGGAGAGAGAGAAAAGAAGACAGAGAGAGAGAAAGAGAGAGAAAGAGAGCAAGAGTTTGACTCACAGGAGCCAGGCCTGGACACTCATAGACAGTGTAGTCTCCCTCCACATTATCCTCTTCTGAATCGTCATCCGATGCGTCGTGCTTCATGTCCCCGTTCGCTCTGAGGACAAAGTGGTGAAATAATAATAATAAATAATATTTGTAGAGCGCATATCCCCACTCAACAGCAAGCCCTGTGTGCTTTACACTATATTACATAATTAAATGGTATAGGTTGAGAAAGTAATTTCATTCAGTGTTTAAGGCCATTGGCCCACATCACATCACATAAAATGGTATAAGTTTAAACTACCCTATCAACACTATTACGTTATTTAACCCTATCTGTACGTCGTGTTTTATTATTGTATCCATACAAAGTGGGGAAATCTGTGCCACCACTTTCCAAAGAGAAAATTTACTCGTTAATCTAATCCGTACACTTTGCATAGCAGTCTGTCAAAATGATTTTTTGAGAAATACCGAAAGTTTCAAAGCGATCTTCGCACTACAAGTATTCTAAAATGTGAAGAATACAACCCCAGGGGTACAAAATGACCCCAGGGTGTACGGATAGGCCCCAGGGACACAAAATGACCCCAGGGCGTACGGACAGGGTTAAGAGGCGGGACCTCCAAGGTTTAACGTCCATCTACAAAAGGACCGAGCCAAATGGGAAATTTGTGTAAAATGCCTTTCCCGCGGACACAACATTAGACTGAGCTGAGGCTCGAACCCCCAAACCCTCAATCTCACAGATACGGGTCTGGTAGACTATCCACTAGGCCACAGATGCCTCTGAGGACAACGGTTGACGTTGTGTCACACCCAAACAGACATTACTGAGATCTCATGTCGGAGGCTGGCTGCTTCCCCCCTGCCCGTCATGTTTGTTTGAGTAATGAAAATACAAGTCATTTCGCATTTGAGGAAACTAAGAACATTTGAAAAAATATGAACCAGAGGCGCCATCCGACCCATCTACACCCCCACCCCCAAATCCCTAATTTATTTATCCATGGTTCATCTGTAGTTTCTGATGCCCGTAGTGGCACTCAATCCAACCACCTACTTACTCCTTCATCACAATCAACTGTGGTTTCTTATGCATTGGTACACCCTCCAACCACCCATCCACTTCTCTATAGAGGATTCTTCTGTTATTTCCGATGCTGGTAATGGTGCACCTGTACACCCTCCAGCCACGCATCTACCTCTCTCTAGAGAAATCCTCTGCTGTTTCTTATGGTGGTACACTCGATACACCCTCCAGCCACCCACTTACTTTTCCATGGCAATCATCTGCTGTTTCTGGTGCTGGTAGTGGTACATCTGAGCGCTCTGTGCCAGCTTCCTGTCGCCCGGTGAGGGGATTCGCTCCTTCATGGGACCTGTCACGCCATAGGCCGGGTACTCTACATCCGTGGCAGCTTTGCTGCTCTTACGAAATCTGGAGGAGGGAAAAAGAGAATAATTGTTGGGGAATTGTTAGTTTTAGCATTGTAAGTTTTAGTTTTAGTAGAGGTATTACGGCGCTCGCAACTGCATTAGGTCATATGAGCGTCTGAAGATTAGAGGTGTTACAAGAGAGTAACAAACATAAAAAAGAAGAAGGGGAGATAAGGACAATAGATGTTTGATAGGAAAGAAGAAGCAAACCACGCCAGAGCACCCGCCAACCACCCACTAGCATTGTAAGAGTTTTACAGCACTTGCGACACAATAAAGTCATGTGTTACAAAAGAGTAATAATAAACTCATAATCAATATTTGGAGAAAAAAAAACACAAAAAAACAAACACAAACAACCCAACCACACAACAGGCCACAGCAGAGCATCCACCAACCATCCGCAAGTTTGTTTTTTTTTACTTCATAGCACACGGACCTCGGTTTGAGCGTAAAGAGAAGCACATCCACTCAATAACAATTTAGTGTTACAAAAAAAAAAGAAAAAAAAGTGATACAGACAGAAACAGAGGGAGAGAAAGGAAAAAGGACCCACCAGTGACACTTTCCTACTAACCATCACAGACAAAAACAACAGAAGGAAAGAAAAGAAGTAGGGTCTCTCATTGACACTCTCCAACCAACCAACCACTACACTCAGAAACAGCAGAGGGTAACTACAAAATCTGGACATAACAGTTGCACCCTCCAATAACCCTCTGTAACAATCTACATATTCATAATCAGATGACAATTACTCAACAAAATAATATGTTCAATGCTTATAAGAAAAATGAAGGGAAGACCACACAATGAGCACTCATCAATCACACGCAAGACTTAAATTCCAAAGTGTAATAATCACAGACAATCTATTGGAGAAATTTACACCTGTATTGGATACAGATATTTACATCTATATTCGCAAGCAACAAAAAACCCAAACAATCCATTCTCGAGTAAATCCCACCCGAGATTCAAACCACCCTCTCTGGTGTTCGCTCACCTTGATATATCTCTGGACCGATGATGCATGGCTGAAATATCACTACTACTATTATCATCGATGTTATTATTATCATCATTATTATTGTTAATATGATTATTATTGTAACTAAAATGACTGTAGCTATAATACATGGGCCTCCTTTCATCCGAAGCATACATTCCCCGTAGGCTGCGATTGGCCGGATGTGACGCAGAGGACGTGGAACTGCGCAGCAACGAGTCCGACTCTAGCCCATCTGCTTTCTTCTGCTTGTTTACACAATCTGATGTATGGGAAGGTGAAGGGGGCTTCCCTTTGCCTCGCAGAATTCTGCATAGCTCACTAAAACACATGATGTCTATTTATCCATCAATCTACCACCAGTCTGTTGCACAGTTCACTTAAGCACACAATGTCTGTCTATCTAACTATTCACCTATCAGCACAGCTCAATAAGATGCATATCTGTCTTATCTTATCATTTATTGATCCACCTATTCGTTGCACTTAAGCTATCTTTCTGTCTATCCATGTCTTTATTTACACAGCTCCCTAAAGTTCAGCCAATCGGTCTACAAGTAGCACATATGTACAAGATTTTCAAACACAATACTGCAATAACAAAAAATCATGTACATCTATGAACTGTATAAATATCATAAGCGCCGAGAATTTCCAAGTTCAGTGGTCGAGATATTTACAAAGTAACAAAACAAAATGTTTGCATTCCACACAAATGCACACAGGAACGAAATCATGAAAGCTACATCACATGTCCCAATATAAAAGTCCAACCAAACAGTTCTGGTACTGAGATATCTTCCTCCAATACGTTCCGACTACCCCCAAAGCTGGAGGATCACACTCCAACACCAACAATCAAGCCCTGCCACATTTGCAGCACTTCATGAAACATTCATGCGCCTCATCTCTCACGAGCATAAATGTCTGCCCAATCTGTGCACACCCGCCTGTATTCCAGCCTGCACACCAGAACTCACTCATGAACAGTGGACAAACACGAGCTTGCAGAACTCAACTTGTGACACCGGCTTACATAAACCAAAGCCCAAGTGGTAGCTCATCACATGTTCCGCACAATGTCACATGCTCCATAAACAAAAAGCCATGAAAATCTCCTGAGGAAGGACACGCCACGTGACAGATGTACCATCTAAAGGAGAGCCCATCAACAGACCCTTTCACAGAGCACAACTCCTTTCACTGAGAACACAACAACCCCTTTGATTAAATTCAAAAACCCCATTCACAAATCTGAAATTCATCCCTGCTCCATCTTTTCTGTGAACATGACATCTTTTTCACCCCCTCATTCTCTCCGCCTAGCTTTGCCTTTAATAAGCCAAGGTTCTGAATGTTCATATTCTCTCCCA